CGAGATCGTGACCTGGCTGAAGTCGGACGCTTAACCGACTGCGCCACCCAGGCGCCCCAACACATTTTATATCTTTTTACTGTGAGCCCCATCACTACATTTTTAGATATAATTGATTTTACTACTTTTGTCTATTAACCTTCATACTAGCTACATAAGTGATTGTTCTACCTTTATTGTATTTCCTTTTACTGGTGAAATTTTTCATAATTTTCTTCTAATTGTGGCCTTTTTCTTTACATGTAAAGAAGTCCCTTGAACATTTCTCATAACTGTGGTGATAAATTTCTTTAACTTTTGTTTGGGAAACTCTCTCTCCCCTTCAATTCTGAATGATAACCTTGCCAGTTAGAGTATTCTTGGAAGTTTTTCCCTTTCTGTGCTTTGACTAGATCATGCCAGTTCTCTCTGGCTTATAAAGCTTCTGTTGAAAACTCATCAAATAGCTTTAACCCTTGTATGTAACTAACTCCTTGTGTTGCTTTTAAAATTATGTCTTTAATCTTTAACACTTTGATTATTGTCTTGTTGTGTACCTCCCTGAGTTCATCTTATTTGGAACTCTCTGATTCTTGAACTTAGATGTCTGTTTCCTTCCCCAGGTTAGGGACATTTTGGGCTATTATTTCTTCAAATAAATTTTCTGTCCTCCTCTCCCTCCTCCTCTCCTGTTTCTCCTCCTGGAACCCCTAGAATGTGAATGCTTATTCACTTGATGTCCAAGATATTCCTTACCATATCCCCATTTAAATTTTTTTTTCTTTTGCTGTTCAGGTTGAGTGCTTTCCATTATCCTGTCTTCTAGATTGTTGGTCCATTCTTATGCATCCTCTAATCCACTCTTGATTCCCTCTTGTGTATCTTTCATCTCTGTTACCATATTCAACTCTGATTTTTTTTTTTAAGTTTCTCTCTCCTCTTAATACTTTGAGTCTATCCATTCTTCTCTGGTGAGCATCTTTATGACTATTACTTTAGAGTCTTTATTGGGTAGATAGCTTATATTCATTTCATTTAGTTCCTTTTCTGAATTCTTTTGTTTGAAGCATATTCTTCTTTGTCATTTTGCTTGACTTTCTGTGTTTGTTTCTATGAATTCGGTAGAACAGCTATTTCTAAACTTGAAGGAATGGTCCTGTGTGTGTAATCATCCCCTGTGTAGACTGTGTGCACCTGGTAATTTTGGCCAGCTGGCTGGAGTGGTGGCTAGCATGAGTTCCCCTGCAGGGTGGGGCCACCCTGGTGAGATGGTCAGAGTTGAAGTGGGCATAGGCTGGGACAGTCCCAGGGTTCTTTGTGCAGAGGGTGCCTTGGCAGGACAGGTGAAGCTTAAGTGGGTAGACTTCTCAGGACATTTGTGCATGGGTACTCTGGCAGGGTGGCTGGAGTCAAGGCAGGCACAGGGCAGGGTGTCTCAGGGTGCTTTTCTGGGTGGAGAATGCCCTGGAAAATTGCCTGGAGCCAAAGCAGTGCAGGCCTGGAAAGTTTTAGGGTGTTATGCACCTCTGTCACTTTGGTGAGACAGCTGTAACTATGGTAAATGCTGACCAGGGTTGTCTTATGTGCACCGTATTCGATCTGCCTTGTGGGATGGGTAGGGCTGGTGTGGACTAGGAGCCCAGGGCTTACTGAAGTGGTAAGCTGCCTTGGGTACCCACCCAGGCCCTGCTCCTGTTCATGATGTCACGGTAATGAGGGAATGTAAACCCTGGTGCTTGCCAACCCTTCTGACCCAAAGATTTCTAGCAGCTCCCCCACTTTTTGACAGAGTTCTAGTGCTAGATTTTGTATATTCTAATTGATTGAATATTTATTTATTTATTTTTGAGAGAGAGAGCACAAGTGGGGCAGGGGCTAAGACAGAGAGAAAGAGAGGAAGACACAGAATCTGAAGCAGGCTCCAGGCTCTGAGCTGTCAGCACAGAGCCTGACACGGGGCTCGAACCCATGAACAGTAAGATCATGACCCGAGCCAAAGTCAGAGGCTTAACCAACTGTGCCACCCAGGAGTCCCTCTAATTGATCTTTTATTAAAAAGTTGCTTTTTTCCCCCTGTACCGCAAGGCAGACAAATCTTCTCATGGTCTCCCAGTATATATCCCTCCCCACTGCAAGTAGCAGCATCAGGGGGGTGGGGACTTCCTTTGTACCTGTGTCTACATCTCTCTTGCTGTCTTCTAGGTGGTGTGTTTCTCTTCTGTTGTGCAAAAGCTGTTCAGTCAGTCGTCAGTTCTTTCAGAGGAACTGCTCTATGAGTAGGTGTAGATTTAGTATGTCTGTGGAGCAGGTGGTTTCTGGGTTTTCCTACATCACCATCTTGGACCTTCCCTCCTCAGACGAATACAGTTTAGATCAAGAATAGCAAATACCTGGTACACAGGCCAACATACTCCTCTCCTCACAAATTTTGTTCTCAGAAAACGTTTCCTTCATTTTCTAGATTGCTGTTACTAAGAGATTAGAGTTAGTGTAAGGGAAACAACCTCTTTGCTAGCCCAGATTATGCTACAGTGAAAGGGCAGGGAGGAAGAAATTGAGCAGACTTGCAATAGGAGTATCTATTTCCAATTTTGAGGGGCAAGTAGAACAATTTGGCCTATTATGTCAAATTCATGTATCAAAATTAGTGGAAGGTACAGTTGCTAAGGCATGCCAGATTGTGGAAGGTCCAGAATGTCAGACTGAAGCATATGCATTTTATTCTGTATGTGGTGTGTTACATGGTAGAAAGTGGGGAAGGTTATTCCATAGTAGTATGTATAATAGTCTAGAGGAGAAATGGAAACCAGTAAATACTAATCCAAGTCTAATAACTTGAGATTTATAGTTTGGATTAGGATGATGGCATAACCCTAACACTCAGGAAGTGTTCAATAAATATTGAATTAATTAATGGAAAGAAAGAAGCAGAACCAGTTATGAGAAGCCACCCAAAGGAAAATGGGAGATTAATTATGGGGTGTGAGAGAAGTCAGATAATAGCTCTAAAGTTCTTAAACTGGCCACCAAAAAAAGAAAAAAAATAGAGTCTGGAAGGAGAAATGAGGTTTGGGGAAATGATGATTAAGATTACAGAATTATGCTCTTTTATTAATGTGATGTATCACATTGATTTGAGAATGGATAAAGAAATTGTGGTTTATATATGCAATGGAATACTATGTGGCAATAAGAATGAAATATGGCCTTTTGTAGCAACGTGGATGGAACTGGAGAGTGTTATGCTAAGTGAAATAAATCATACAGAGAAAGATACCATATGTTTTCACTCTTATGTGGATCCTGAGCAACTTAACAGAAGACCATGGAGGAGGGGAAGGGAAAAAAAAAATGTTAGGGAGGGAGCCAAAACATAAGAGACTCTTAAAAACTGAGAACTGAAGGTTAAGGGGGGGGAGGGAGGGAGGGGGAGGATGAGTGATGGGTATTGACGAGGGCACCTGTTGGGATGAGCACTGGGTGTTGTATGGAAACCAATTTGACAATAAATTTTATATTTAAAAAAAATTCATTTTGCCTATATATGAAAAAAAATTACAGAATTATGGTCCTAGAATTAAAGAGCTAGAAATATGCCAGAAGCGTTCTTCCCACACAATGATTTTTTTACAGGTAGGAAAACCAATTCAGATGTTTTTAGAGACACAGACCTAGTTATAACAGAGCCAAAACTAGAACCAAAATCATTTTGATTTGTCTAATATACGAATGCTGCTTTCTCAAAAATAGGAGATTAACCATGACAGGAAATCCAGGTAAAAATAGTCTTTCTTTTTTCTGAGGGGGAGAGAGGGTGCAAGTGAATGAGGGCAAAGAGAGAATCCCATGAGGGGCAGAGAAACAGAAAGGGAGAGACAGAGAAGTGAGGCTCACATGAAGCAGGGCTCAAGCTCACTGGATGTGGGGTTCGAACTCACTAACTGTGAGATCATGACCTGAGCCGAAATCAAGAATCAGATGCTTAACCGACTAAGCTACCCAGGTGCCCCAGGTAAAAGTACTAATGCTCAGGAGAGGTAAGGACTTCTACAGTGGATTTGAAATTTTCCTTTTTAGAGGTGATCATTTGGTTTCTCTGTTACTATAGTATAGCTCCATTTTATAACAGGAAGCAGTGATAAAATGGGATTGGATGTGTAAAAAATTCACTTTATAACCTATTTTGCTGTAGTGCTATTGAGGAAAGCTTGTACTTATAAAGCTGAGATTCCATTAGTGTTAATAGAGAATTACAACTCTTTTTAGGACTTTGTCAAAATTCTATAACAATAAATTGGCCAAAGTGTAAAAATTTTAATTGCATTATCTTAATTTTTGTAATAATTAATGTGTTTAATGAGTATCTAAAGGAAAAAGAAACCTTTAATGATGCTTTAGAACATTTGTCCATATATAAAATAATGCAAATTAATATCTGGTTAAGGCAATAAACAGTTTAAAGAGACTCATCTTTGAAGACTGGCTTACAAAAATGAAAGGTAATTCATCATTCAGGTTTTATTTGAATATTCCCATAAAATAACATTTAAGTGATTTGTTCAACATTTTGAGTTGATTAGTTTATCCCTGTAGCCATAAACCACTTTCTTTAACTGTAATGTTGGATTAAACCTATCATGTAACATAATTGAATATTAGACTCCCAACCCAGGACAGTCAACTTGTACCAAGAGATGACCTATCTAGCCCACACAATATTTTTAAAAACTTCTGTACTTGAATTATTTTAGTTGTGCTTACTCTTTAGTTGCTTAGTGACCCATCTACACCCTATTGTCATTACGTCTATTTCTTTCAATCAGTTGAGGTACCAGTCTAGCCTCTAAAGACATTTAAAATTCCTCTTCTACACAGTGCCCTGCTCCTGATCATTGTATCTGTCCAAATATATGTCTGGGTTAACACGTCTGCGTAAAAATATCTTAGATATTTTAGAATATCTAAATATCTGTTTAGATATTAGAATATCTGTTCTACTTCTATAAGAACTGTTCTACTTCTATAAGCATATAGAACCCTATGTTCATATATGTAAATAGATCTTTTTTTCTTGGGTAGTATGAAGCAAATATATATAATAAAAAACTGACATAATAAGCATATTTGATCATGTTACATAAAATGGTACGTGTTTTTCCACAGGTAACCTTTGATGTAACTTGGTCTCCAAAGTGCAAAGACAGGTGCTATAATTACACTGGAATTGCAGATGCTTGTGACTTTCTCTTTGTGATGTCTTATGATGAACAAAGTCCGGCCTTGTCAGAATGTATTGCAGCAGCCAATGCTCCCTATAAGGAGACATTAAATGGTAAGAATCCACAAAATGATCACTTTAACATTAAGGTTATTTTAGTATTTCTAAATCATTTGTATACCTTTTCCATTTGTAAAGCTTTCTTGAAACATGAATATCACTTAATTTGGGGAGCTTTCAAGTTTACATAAAGTTTTCACTTAATTCTTCTAAACATTTTGTGGGATAGATATATTATTAATCCTCTATTATAGATGGGATGATGAGTGTTAAGTTCTCTTTGTATTGCTACTGAGTATTATTTACTTGGGGCTCAAGCAGGTGTTCTAACTTCAAGCCAAAACTTTTCTCCCAAAGTTACATAAAGGAGATATTTACTTATCTAGAATTTGACATGATATTTTTTTGAAATAACCAATGTTAGCTAATAGCAAAGATAATTATAATGTGAGTAGCTACTGTGCATGATTGATAGAGGACTGTCTTATTTGGCATTTATTATTAGCACCCATGCTATATCACTATTAGAATTAAGAGTACTTCTGATCTGTCATTCATATCACATCAGCCAATTCAATAAAAGATTTCTTGCTATCTTTTGGACTCAGGTGAAATTTTCTGAGATAATTGGCCCTGCTTTAAGTATTGATTAATAAAAAAATATTTTTCAATTTAGAGAGAAAAATCTTAGAACCTAGCCTCATCATGTCCAAATTAATAATCTGATCGTATGCATATGCCACTTATAATTTGGAAAATGACTGATAAAACTACAAAGTAATTCATTTTTCCAAACTATGTTTCATAAAGGAGATAATTGTGTCCTAACAATATTAGGCTCATTATCAAATATGTTTGTGAAATAAGGCATACTGTACCCCTCTCTTGGATATTTAACAGTACACAATAAAGGCTCTTAAAAACAGCAAATTTACTTAATTCAACTTTCTGATAATCTTGGAACATCTTTGGGTGGGAAAACATTTTGCAGCATTGGGCACAGCAGGGACTGACCAGGAATCTGTTCATATTTCTTTGTTTCCTAACTATAGATTGAATACAGAGTAATTGGGGAACATTTCTTGTCCCTAGCTGTAATTCATACTTATAGAAAGCACAATTGTTCCATGTTATAGAAATATGCTATATGAAATTCTGAGGCCATCCCTGCCAGAGAGTTATATCATGTCTTAGCAGTTAATACACAATTAACATGCTTTCCTGAAATGTGTCATTCTTCCTAGAAATAAATTTTATGAGTTTTTTGCTTCAATTTGATCTTGTTTTAAATGTGTTCTAATATTCAAAACAAATCACTTATGTCATATTAGAGAAACACTCTTATTGGTATTTTGCATAAATGTACTTGTTTTTTCAAACTTAGCTTCCGAATGGTTGAATAGCTTGTATAAACCTATTAGTAGAATATAAAGAAAAAAATATGCCTTTTCCGTCCCAACTTGATTAGGGTATGATGACTACATCAAGATCGGCATTAACCCTGAGAAACTTGTAATGGGTATCCCCTGGTATGGTTATGACTATACCTGTCTAAAGCTATTGGAGGTAAGAACAGATTATTTCCTATATGATTTTTTTCTCTATTATATTTTTGGAGCCTGTTTTGTATATGAACATAGTTTGAGACTAAAAAGGTAGCGTTTAATTATTTAATCCCATGGAAGTTTCTGAATGTTATATATTTTCTTTTTACTTTTATTAGGTATAGTCAGGTTATTTATAGTACATATTTTATTTTTAATAGTTTTTGATTACATTTTCTGATTGGGTTTCTAAGACTTGCTTAACTGATAAATGTATAACATGAACATTTTATATTTCTAGGATCGTGTTTGTACCATTCCAAAAGTCCCTTCCTGGAGGGCCTCTTGTGGTATTGCTTCAGGACAGCAGGTGCCCTATAAAATAATTATGAAGCACGTAAATAGTTCTATTTCTGGAAGCCACTGGGATAAAAATCAGCAGGCCTCTTACTATAACTATAAAGTAAGACTTTTCACAAGTTATGAACATTCTATTTTCGTAACTGCATGTTTTCATAATTACATATTTGATATTAACAATTTCTATCAGTTTTCTTTTAGGGTACAACATAGAGTTTAGATGAGTAAACTTGTAATCAGGTACTTTACTTTCTAGCTGAGCAGTTCAACTTATGCTAATAATATAACTTCTTTGCATGGGCCACTTGTCATGTTAGATAAGGTTATAAAAACATGCATATCACAAACAGGGTCTCCTGTAATAATTGACAGCTTTGTATAACTGTGGCTTTGGGCCAAAATAGGTTACCACTCAGTAAGCCTTCATTTCAAGGTAGCCTAAACGTTCTGATGAGGCTGTTTTTTATAGGGAGGCATGAGGCTGAGAATAAAGAATGCATCATCATGGAATCAGTGGACAATGGTATAAACTATGTGACATTAGACAAATTATATTACAAACAGAAACTTGAAGAAGTAGAGGAAATGACAAGAGCAATTCTGTCAGGTAGTGTTTGATAAATAGTAATTGCCATACAAAGCGGCAAAAGTAATATTTTTCATAATTTACCTTTAATATAATACAAACTTTTCCACACACCTCAATTACAAGCCATCTTTGAATTTACTTTAGATTCTGTTACTGTAAAAGGAGCCCTAAAATATGATGTAAGTTGATTCCAGTAGGAATTTATATTCCTTAATAATGGCCTGGTCCCAATTTGTGAAAAATATTTAATAAATTTTGCTATACAGGCATGTACATATATATCAATTATATAGAAAGCTTTGGTGTAGAGATTTCTATACCTTTATATACCCATTAAACTAGGGTATATTATAATCTTGTCTTTGCCAAACAGTGTAATATTTTACACTCTGGGGTACTATTTTTTGTAGTCCCTGACTTATTTTTTTCCTTAATGAATACGACAAATTCTTTAAGGTTTTACAATTCAGGAAGCCTTTTGATAAACCTTTTGAAAGCCATTTATTTAATGGCACTTTAGACAACAGTTTAGCTATAAAACTGTTTTGTTCCTCTTTTTCATTCATTGTAAAATTCCATAGCAACCAAAATCAAGTTTCTTGTGATTGAAGAGAATCGTTTTTGCTTTCTTATGCTGTTTGAGCCATAGCAGCCTCATCATGCACTCAATATTCCCAAAAGCATATGTATGCCTTCATCATGAATAGATCAATTTTACATATGCTCAGTTTTTCATCCTTTCATCCTTCACTACTTTGAGGCATTTGAAATTTCTTAACAGTATCAAAAGGGCTCAAAATACTCACTAAATAATGGCAAAGAGATATGTGTCTTTGGATTCATCCCTGAACCTGCAAAAATAAATATTTCTATATTTACATAGAGGTTGCCTTTTAATAGTGAATCACAGTTTAAAATCTTAAATAGAATATAAAATATGCTTGTAGTAAATGAGCCTACTATACTTAAATATGCCAGTTTATTCATTTACCAAGTGACTAATGTCCTGCAAAGTAGTCCTAATTCCAGTGGTGCTACCATAAATAAAATTATTACTGGCATCCATTGAGAATTGCCTTTAAAAGTTTCCCAGATGTATATAAAAATCAGTATAATTATTTAAAATCACAGTTGATTCTATTTTTTATTTCCTATCTTTTCCCCCTTTCCTTTACCCTTTGCCTAGTTTTTCTGTTCCTTTTCTCTTTCTTTTCTCCAATAGCTTATCTACCTTCTAGGAGAGACTGTGTTAGTACTAGAGGCAGTTGATGCTGAGGAGGACTTTAAAGGGTGGAAGGTGAGCATAAGACCATTTTCAGATTTTCTCATCTACAAAAATGTGTGTGCATAAGTTACCCATGGAATCCACACCCGACAGGCTCTTAAAATCAATTCTGTAAGACCTGGAAAAGGAGATATTTTCCTCACCCATTACCTTTTGATATGACTGATTCATCACAGATGAAGTCATCTGCTGAGTTCTTAATTAGGCACATTTCCAGGAACTGTAGAAGAAAAAAAAAATACATAAACTGGCTTAGAGGACCAGAGCAGTGATCCTCCTTAACTGTGTCTGCATATCAGAATTATCTAATGGAATGGCAAAACACAAAACAAATGTATGCCCTGTCATCAGCCCTGAAGATTTTTTCATGTGGTGTGGGTCCCAGTAGTTTGTATTTTTTAAAGCCACACAAGTGCTTCAGATGTACATCTTGGTTGATAATCATCAGATCAGACCAAGGAAGGAATCTTAGGGCATGAGAAGGACTTTATATAGAATATATTATGAAGTTCATTTGTTCTCTTCTGTTGTGAACTCACCACAATCATATCTAGAAAGTACCACATACAGAATCATGGAAGCAGAAAATATTGTGCCCTAAAATCTTTATTTCATTGTATCATTTTTGAGTCATTGGATTTAATATTGTGCTGAATAGTTTAATTTCTTCTTCTAGGATTCTTCTGGCCATTTGCATCAAGTGTGGTATGATAACCCTCAGAGCATTTCTTTAAAGGCAGCATACATACAAAAGCATGGCTTACGAGGCATTGGCATGTGGCACGCAAATTGTCTTGACTACTCTGGAGATGCTGTAGCCAAACAGCAAACCGAAGAAATGTGGAAAGTCTTAAACCCAAAGCTGTGACAGATGAGCATCTTTTGTCAAACTAAGATTTAGAAAAATGATCTGTATAAATAGATCCGTTTCTTGAAGAAATGAAAATGTATACATTTTTGTCATATAATTTAGTTACATTTAAAAGCAATTAAAAGCAGATAAATGCTTTGGTTATCTAAAAACAAAGGTAAGAAGTCAACTTGCTATATTTATTCTTCTGTGTTTAATACTATAATTAGGAAAAATTGTTTTCAGAATTTTATTGCTGATTTTTAAAATATGTATAATTTGAATTGGAAATTATTTGCTTAGACTAGATTTTTTAAAACCTAGTCTTTGAGAAGCAGTTAGCTCTGTACTTTTTGTTCCAAAAATTTTTCTGCTTCCTGATTTCATGTAGTACTCAAATTCTCTGAAAGCCTCCAGAGGAAAAAATAAAATATAAGTCATATTTGGAATTAGTATGTTAGAACTACCTAATATTTTTTACCTAAATTATTTTTATGAGGTTATAGCAGAAACTTTCAGGAAAAACTTAGTGTTGAACATGATTCTATTAATATTCCTTCATTTATGAACATCTATAATGTGCATTTTTCCTTTAATTATTTAAAGACATTGGTTTTTCTCTGCACAAAAATCTCTCTAAAAGATAATTTTTCTAAATGTAAAGAGGTCTCTGTTCTTTTCCTCAGGGCAATTGTGTTACACTTATTAAAAATCTGCATCCTTGAACCCTAGACTTACATAAATCCTGTCTTCTCTGTACATTTCACCCTCTTCCCCCATTTGGAATAAATGATGATTCAGTCACCTGTTATTGAGAATACTTCCTATTTATCCAATTATTTATGACAGAGTGAAACCAACCATTTTCCATAGTATTTGTTGAATTACTATTGTCTTTGTATTTCTAAAATTTTAAAAATTTGAATTCTTAGATACTAATCTCTATCATAGCTCTGGATGTAAATTCAATATCCCTATTTATAATATAATATAATTTCTAGATTGCTTTTAATCAAATACAATGAATAAATGGTCTGTATTTAAATACAGATAGATTCTTTAAATATTTTAATAAATATGAAATTTTGCTATTAAACTTTAAGACTATTTTATAAAATATAGTACTGTAAAATGTGTAATAGACTTAAAAACTTCAAAAATAACCAAATAGCTAGTGTTTTGCTTTTTTACATCTAATAGTTCCTGAAACATTTTTTGAAACCCAAATGAAAAGCAAAAAAAATATATAACTTATGATTTATATAAAGTATCGCACCAAGGAAAACAGTGGTTACATTTTTTTTGGCAAATAAGTTTTAAATTAACATACCCAACTGAGCCTGTACAGATGTGTTATTTTTCTTCTGTGCCAGTTCAGTTTTCAGCATGCATAAATCTGAAACTGCTTGTTTTCTCACCTACAAAAACAATTACCTTTCAAAAATTAGCTTTCATTTTACTGTTCTAAAATTCAGAGGGTCCTAACTGAATGCTGCTAGTGAAAAGAATCTAGAACTGGGCTATTCAATACAGTAGCTACTTGCCACATATAGCTATATAAATTAACAAATTATATGAAGATTGAATATCAGTTCCTCACACAACAAGCTACATTTCAAGTGCTCAATATCCTTATGTGGCTAGTGGTTGCTGTATCTGACAGTGCAGATATGGAACATTTCCAGCACTGTAGAACAATGGACATTCTAGAAAGGGGTCATTATTCATGTCATAGAGCTATTTCTGATAAAGAAATGAATTTAGAGCATTAATTATAAATTTTTTTTTTCAACGTTTATTTATTTTTGGGAGAGAGACAGAGCATGAACGGGGGAGGGGCAGAGAGAGAGGGAGACACAGAATCGGAAACAGGCTCCAGGCTCTGAGCCATCAGCCCAGAGCCTGACGCGGGGCTCGAACTCCTGGACCGCGAGATCGTGACCTGGCTGAAGTCGGACGCTTAACCGACTGCGCCACCCAGGCGCCCCTAGAGCATTAATTATATATACATGAAAATAATCAGAATGAGAGACTTACCCTAGAATGGGTTAAAAAAAAAAAATTGAGCTCAGAGAGCTAAGTGGTTTGTCAGACTTTCATATATTAGAGTCATCCATAAATAAATTACTTTTAAAATATTGAGACTCTACTGATTCACAAGGTCCTTTTGCTTTAATTCTTAGTGAAATTTTACTTTGGCCTTGTTATAACAGGCATCTTTTCACAGGATTTACTTCTTGCATTTTTCTCACTCATGCTCTTGGTTAAGGTAATGACTTTAAGACAATCTGTACTATCTTTAGGCTTTTGATACCCAAAATTAAAACAATTTATTTCAAGATAAATGTCTGATTAGGAGAAATGCAAATTACCTTAGCATCCATTATGAGTTTCATTTTGTCAGTATCCAGTTTTCTCTTAAGTTGGTCAATAGCATGCTGTACCTCAGTGATCTGGATTATAAGGTAATTCTGTATGAAACAAAGACATTTAGTAAATTCATTTTTATTTATTTTTATTTTTTTAAGTTTGTTTCTCTATTTTGAGAGAGAATCTCAAGCATGCTCCACGCTGTTAATGTAGAGCCTGATGTGGGGCTTGAACTCACAAACTGTGAGATCATGACTTGAGCCAAAACCAAGAATCAGATACTTAACCAACTAAGCCACCCAGGTGCCCCTATTTATTTTTATTTTTAATTGTCTTGCAAACTATCAAGTGATAACAAATACCAAAAAAGCAAATCATAAAAATAACCTATTGCATAAAATAAACTCATTGCTTTGGAGTAAATTAGAATTGACCTTTTTCTTATGTCTTAGGGACCACATTCCCTTCTGTTGTATTACATTTATTCATGTTTTATAAAAATAAGTAGATATTTGTGCAAGTTGCCTTTGTGGTGCCAATTTAATGGTAAGAAATATTACTATAAAAGGAATATACTAGGTTTAAGATACTAGCAAGGCTTTTGAAATTGTCATAACAATTTATCAGCTGAATTGGATAGTATTACTTTAAAATATTTAATAAATAAATACTATATATAAGAAAACCTATTTAATATAAGAAGCTTTTTTAGTTATTTTTGTTCAGAAAAGTTTATGAGGTATAATGGTCAACAAAAACTATTTAAAATTTTAAGCTGCCTCTGTGAAAAAAAATTGTATATTGAACTTGATAAAACAAAAAAATCAGCTATGCAAGATAATTAGTATCAGCTAAGATGGATAATCCATTACTTGAACCTACTTGAGTTTTACATTAGATTTATCTAAAATGGTAAACTTTTACTCATAGAAACAGAGAACAGATTGGTGGTTGCCAGAGGGTAGAAAATGAAGGGAAATGGGTGAAAGTGGTCAAAAGGCACAAACTTGGGGTGAAAATAAGTTCTGAGAATGTAATGTACAGCATGATAACTACAATTAACAGTATTGTATATTTGAAAATTGCTTAGGAAATAGACCTTAAAAGTTCTCATTGCAAGAAAAATAATCTGTAACTGTGAGATGATGGATGTTAACTAAATTTATTATGGTAATCATTTCATAATACATACATAAATAATTATGTTATATACCTTACTGAGATATAATTGGTGTATAATATTAGTGTAAGACTGGAGAAAAGTTTTACATATTCTTCTTTAGGAGGCAGATAGCCCTACTTGCCATTGGCAACTCTATTGGTACCATGAGGACAAGCAGTCTTATAATGAAGCCAATGCTGAAAATAATGGGTAAGGAATGCCAGAAGCACATAGTCCCTTAAAGATCTCATTAAGCTCCTAATTGTATCCTCTCCGCACCCATTACATGAGATCATAAATTTTCTTATTGGTTAAGTCAAGTTTTTGTTACCCGTAGCCCAAAGCATTCTACCTATGATAATACTAGCAATAATAAAACATGCATTTTGAGTAGAACTTCTCTAATAGAATGTGAACACATTTAGTAATAAGTACCTTAGAGTCTGTGATGTTTGCCAAATTCTTTGGTCTCATCTTAATGTCCCTGGCTTCAAGCTGCATGAGCAGTTTTTTATAGTAAAGTTCTAAATCTTCTCGCAGTTTTGTTAAAACCTCCTCCAACGATGCTGTGATTTTCTTTGTTTCAAACTATTTTTTCTTCCAATCATCACAGGCTACAAAAAAAAGCAAGGACTATAATGTGAGTCTGACTAAAGGATTAAACTTTTCAACTCGGAAAGGACCCTTGAGTTAATTTAAACCCTTCTACTCCCCCACTCTTCCTTCCTCATATGCTGAGGAAATTAAAGCAAAGACTGAAATGTTTATTAAATAATAAAAGGATTGGCCTACAAATATAGAAAATAGTGATGAATCCAGGAACCAAACCAAGTTCTTTAAGCTTGTAATTATTTCTGAAAAATCTTGATTAAAAATACTACCTATAGAAAAATGTGTATATTTATTTTGATTACTTTTTCCATAGTCTGATTTCAAATCATAATTAAAACAATGAAGAGAAAGGCATAATATTTTTTCATCCCCTTAAATGACTTATGTTTTATAAAATAAGCTGATTCTGATTTATCACTTATTAAAATTATTCCAGATATATCCCCAAATGTATGTAGGGCAGAATTTAAGCCTGAGCCCTGTAGTTGAGAAAATTAGAAATCAAATACTGCCAATTTAGGGAATCATTTTGACCCAATGAGATTCTAAATACAAACTTAACAGGAACACAAACTGCATGCTACTATATCAGAATATGCTTATGCTTCTCTTTTAAAAAATTATCAAAGAAATGAAAACCCCAGATATAAAAGTTGATTTCATTAAAATTCTACAACTTTATGGGATTTTAACTCAAGATTTTAACTATTTATTTCCCTCATGTCCTATATCTAATCCCTCAGCAAGTTCTATTGGTACTACTGTAAAATACTTCCAGCATCTGGCACATTCTGTCTTCTTCAATGCTATGTCCCTAGTCAGTGCACAATCATCTTTTGAAAGTGGATTATGTTTCTAACTGGTCTCTCTGCTTCCATTCCTGCCCCTCTATGGGCTATTCCATACAGCAGTCATTCTGATGTTCTAAAAATATTTTTAAAGTCCTATACATCTCTAAAAATCCTCCAATGGCTTCTCATCTTAGAATAGAATCTAAACTCCTTAAATTGGCCTGTCTGTTCCTTGGTGAGCTTTTGATTTTATCTTCCTCTACATTCCTCCATATTAAGTTCCAGCCACACTGGCCTTATTTCAGCTCCTTAATACTGCAAGTTCACTTCCATCTCTGGACCTTGACATTTTAGTGTTCCTTCTGTTTGGACTGGTTTTTGTTTTTTGGTTTTTTTCTCTTATCTCTTTAGATGCCTGCCTCCTTATTAATTACATCTTAATGATATCTCCTCAGTGATGCCTTCTTTGAAAATTCAAGCTAAAACATTTTTTTCTGCCCCATCACTCTTTGCTCTTTTAAAGGGACTTTTGAGCTCTAATCAGGAGCTGATATTGTCTTATTTGTTTACATCTATCTCCCTGCATTAGAAGAAAGCTCCTTAAGGGCAGGGCCATGTTCATCTTGTTTACTGTATCCTCAGCATTTAAAACAATGCAAGGAATTGATGCACATAGTAGGCTTCCTACGTATTTGATAGCTGATACATGCCTTTTATCTTGAAACATTCCTGTTGAAATAGAAAGTAATCATTCTCATTTTAAATGTTTATTTTTGAGAGAGAGCAAGAGAGCACATAAGCAGGGGAGGGGGCAAAAAGAGAAAGAGATACAGAATCTGAAGCAGGCTCCAGGCTCTGAGCTGCCAGCACAGAGTCTGACGCGGGGATTTGAACCCATGAGCCATGAGATCATGACCTAAGCCAAAGTTTGACACTTAACCAACTGAGCCACCTAGGCACCCCTGATATTCTCATTTTATAAACAGAAAAAGGAAGACACAAAGAGGAGAAATAACTTGTCTACATAAATCACTGATCTGGTATTAGAATCCTGGTCCTGTGATTTCTAGTCCATTACTCAAATTTGTCTGATAAAATCACTTTTAACAGTACGACAAAACTTAGTCATTGCCATCATTTCCAGGACACCACTTAATAAGGTAGAACCTGCAGAAATACCTCCTGACATTGCCTATAACATTCAGTCAGTTCTAACACTGAAGTAATAATTTTGCTGTAAATTGAGAATCCTACAACCAGTTAGTTCCATATATACCTTTTATTCATATAATCCTCCAATACCACCCAAAATGCAGTCTTCTCAAATCCTTTAACATCTCTCTACCCTGGCTTGTTTTTCTATTTCTACCTAGTCCTAGTAACACTTGTTTCTAATTCTGTTGCAGGAAAACTACCTATTTTTCTACTTAATTTCTCTTATTCATTCATTCATTCATTCATTCATTCATTCATTCATTTAGTTTGGCAAAACAGACACACATACCACAAAATTAAGCATGTAGAGAAGACTAAGGGATTCAGGGGATGATTCTAGAGTAATATCTAAGCTGAGATTGAATGATTAGTAGGAACTAGCCAGGTAAACTGGGAAGGGGTGGGTAGAAGTTAAAGGAGATGTAGATGGCAGAGGGAAAGCATGTCTGAAAGCCTACAGCCAAGAGGAGGCACACTTCAGATTTAAGCATATTTAACAGTTTTCTGGGAAGCCTTTCTTGATCTCTTCCATCTAATTTAGGTGCATACAATTCTGTAATTCCTTTATCATAGCATCATCAGGATGTATTGTTACTGTTTTCTTATCGTTTCCCCAATGGACTATAAGCTCTTTGAGGGCAGAGACAAAATTGTGTCTGCCTATTATCTCCTCAGCCCCTAGAACAGTGGCTAAGTTCAGTAGACAATACATACTTATTTAGTAAATGAATAAAGGAATGTTATAAAAAAATTTGAACTTAAATTTTAAAAAACCTTATGTAAAGTATGTTAATTAATGATAAAATAGTGATAAAAGATGTAATAAATTTTACCGTGACATTGCTTCAACTTGCTTTGTTCAAATAGTTTTTCAACTTTTTTAATTAGTTCTTCTCTAATTCTTTCCAGATATCTTCTTTCTTTCTTTACTTGTTTCAGTTGTTCAATAATCTTCTCTCCTAAAAGATTATAACCCGTCAATGTCCAAAAGCTAAAAGTTGGGAGTGTAAAACTTAAAAGTGCTTAAAATAGCAAGAATAAATTTTACCCGCAAATAATATTACTGATTAAATATATGCAGTAATTAACATATAATTCACATACTTTAAAATAATTTAACATTTTTGTGGTAAAATACACATAATAAAATTTACAGTTTTAACCTCTTTTAAATGTACAGTTCAGTGGCATTATGTACTTTTATGATGCTGTACAACCATCACCACTGTCCATCTCTAGAACTTTTTTATCTTCCGAAATTAAAACTCTGTACCTATTGGACAATAATTCCCCATTAATATTTTTTTATTAAAAAAAAATTTTTTTTTTTAAATCTTCATTCACTTTTGAGAGAGAGACAGAGCGCGAGCAGGGGAGGAGCAGAGACACAGCGAGACACAGAATTTGAAGCAGGCTCCAGGCCCTGAGCTGGCAGCACAGAGCCCGACACAGGGCTCGAACTCACAAACTGTGAGATCATGACCTGAGCCGAAGTCGGATGCTCAACCGACTGAGCCACCCAGGTGCCCCTCCATTAATATTTAACTTTACCTCACAGAGTTATTTGTACTTACGGTATCATCATACTTACTTTCAATCTGTAATAAAGAGATATCAGTTATTACTGGAGAAAGAGCAGGTTGACAAGGAAGTGAAGGAAAATCAGTAAGATCTGGTAGGGTGATGCACTCTTTCTTACCTATCTGTAAGCAAACATGAAAACCAGTAAGATCTGGTAGAATAACACATTTTTCACCTGTCTGTAAGCATGTGATAATGTACAACAGCAATGCATTTTTTTTTTTTTTTTTACTTATATGGTGACAAAATCCCAAATCTGTATTTATAACTATAGATTCTCTCTTGTGCTTCAGCTTCTCTATTCCACTATTACTTGGACATTATACACAGGTACTTCAAACTTAAAAGAAAAAAAAATCCATTATTACTTTGTAAACATGATATCTTTCCCAGATTTCTTATAACTTTAACATTTTTCTAAGATGACTATTGATTTTTTTTTATCTTGAGCCAATTTTGATAACTTATGTCTGCTTAGAAAATAAGAAAACTAATTGCATTTTCAAAATTTAGCATATATTTTATTGGCTCTGTATTTGTGTTTGTGTCACTTTTATCTTTCTTAACTTTTGTGTTTCTACCCTTTTATGATAAACTACCTCGAGCCTTACCAATGTGGATGTCTCTCCCACCATCACTTCATAGATCTTGAGTTGTTTTCAATTCTGCTAGTTTTTTACCTCTAAGTTATTAGTGTCTCCTTCTATCTTCATTAAGCCCTTACTCCTTTGTTTTACTGTTCTTTTTCTGGTTTTTAATGTTATGTTGCATTATTAACTTATAAGTTCAGTCTCCTGCAGAATAATGGCAACCACCTAAATTACAATCTCTCCACATATCCTTCCAATTGCTATAAAAAGAGAGCAAATAATACCCATAACTTATGTCTACAGCATAACTAGGACACAAAATCCGTTAATTTACATATACTTTAATTTGCATATAACTGGGGAAATAAACACCCTAGACCAGCAGAGTGTGCTCAGGAGCCCACCTCCAAGCAGATGTGGACTGCTTAAGCATTAGAGGCCACTATACAAAGATAACACAATAAACATCAACCATGATTTAGTCTGGAAGGAGGGGGCTCCACATGCATAGGAGAAATCCTGAGAGTAAGGATAAAATCTTGTAAATCAGAGCACTTTTGATGAGGAGGCCAAATGAAAGGGGATTATAAAATGTAGGGGGCCTGAGTGGTAATCATGGGAAGACAGCTTTGAAGAGAGGAAAATACTTTGGAAAAGATATTCCCTCAGGGATAGCTGGTAAGAGAAAAGAAGAAAGTGGCCAAGATAACAGCTCTGCTGAATTAAGTTAGTAGAAAAGAATTCAAAGAAAACAGACCCCAAAAGCCCCATTTATTTAAAAATAAATAAATAACTGCATTTCACTATATGAACAGAAGAGGGAGCACCCAACCTAAGAAGCAAAAGAAACCACCAACACAGGGCTCCCTGTTCCTCTATAAAAATAAAAATAAAAAATATATAAAAATAAGTTATTACTTAAACAGAAAAATTAACACAAATAAACATGAACAATATCTACAAATTATTCAAGCATCCACACAAATTTACATTTTAAAAAAACCTTCACAATTGAGAACTAAAACCAAACAGACAGCCATGAAGCAGAGAAAAACTTAAACAATACTTCCAACACAGATTAAATATAAATAAACATTTGCAGATACCACAGACACAATAAATCAAGAATTTTAAAACTCAGAATAAAAATGGAAAAACAGGAAGATGTGAAATGGAAGTTGGCTAAAGTGAAGAAAGAAATTAAAAAACAAAATTGTCTCAGAAATGAATAAATTAGCAAGTACCCAAGAAGCAACAAATATGACCAAAAATACAGTAAGGATAGTGGAGAATACAAATAAAAGATGCAAAGGAAATGAAACAAACAAAAAAAAGTGAAATAGATCAGAGAAAAGATAACGTATATAAAAGGTAAAGAAAAAATTAAACAATAGATCTGCTACCTAAATTATTTTCTGAAATTATAATTTTAGGAAATGCTCTTGAAATATGTCTGGATTGGGGCGCCTGGGTGGCGCAGTCGGTTAAGCGTCCGACTTCAGCCAGGTCACGATCTCACCGTCCGTGAGTTCGAGCCCCGCGTCAGGCTCTGGGCTGATGGCTCAGAGCCTGGAGCCTGTTTCCGATTCTGTGTCTCCCTCTCTCTCTGCCCCTCCCCCGTTCATGCTCTGTCTCTCTCTGTCCCAAAAATAAATAAAAAAAAAAAGAAAAGAAAAAAAAATATGTCTGGATTTTCATACTGCAAGGATCCACTGTGTATCCAAAAAAACCTGATCGAGAATTCTGAGCTAAGATTCAGCCCGGTAAAACTAGTACACGTTAAATGAATCCTCTGGCCTTCCAGACAAATATACCCAAGCCAGTTTACAAAGAAAAGAAAACCAGGCATCACTTTTTTTTTAATGTCTTTTTTTTCAACGTTTATTTATTTTTGGGACAGAGAGAGACAGAGCATGAACGGGGGAGGGGCAGAGAGAGAGGGAGACACAGAATCGGAAACAGGCTCCAGGCTCTGAGCCATCAGCCCAGAGCCCGACGCGGGGCTCGAACTCCCGGACCGCGAGATGGTGACCTGGCTGAAGTCGTACACTTAACTGACTGCGCCACCCAGGCGCCCCGCTAGGTGCTTTTTCTAAATTGAACTTAATCCAACCAAGAGATGATTGAAAAGTCTTCTGTAAAAGAACTGGCAGTGTGTTGAACATATTTAATTACAGATCTGAGACTAAAACAAAGGTGAGAGGTTAAGTCTAGAAGTATGGCATATAAATGTTATATGCTCTGACAAAATAGAAGTAACACAACTTAAAATACATTAGAGAAGAAAGATTTTTTTGATTACCCTGAATAGGACAGATCAGTGGATAGTTTTAGAGGTAACAAATGAAAAGCATAAGCATAAATTTTAAAAAACGGGAAAAGAACACTAGTATACTAACATAAATGTATTACTGTAAACACTAGAACAAAAATACAACCTTCCTAAAACACGAGGAGAGGGGAAAAGTACAAATAAACCACATAGTAACTCACAGTAACTGTAACATAAAATGACAAATCTTAAGTCAAACACATCAGTCCTATCAATAACATAAGTTGACATAATTCATCTACTAAATAAAAAATATTTTCACACACTCTCACAAAACAAAACCCAACTCTATCTGGGCTATATGTAAAAGACATATCTAACTAAAACAAAGCAATTCAGAAAGGCTGGGGGGACAAAGTGTGAAGGAAGATGAGGGTATACCAAATAAATGTATGCAAAAACAAAGTACAGGTTAGTATCTTGATACTAAAGGAGAATTCAGACCTAAAAAAGCACTTAATGAGTCAAAAAAAGGATACTTCATAGCACAAAAGTGATATTAGTATTCACATAAGAACAACTTTGCGCCAAGTAACACATAGAAATCTAAACAAACCAGAAACCACAGGAGATACAGGGATAAACAGTAACACACTAATAATAGGAGATGCCAATACACCATTGCTATATACGCAATATACGCAGCTACCTAGCAAGAGAATGTGGGAAAAAATAAGGATAAGAAATACTAAGCAAGGTATTCAGCAAGGTAGACTATAGGCACAGAGTAGGGGAAGATACTTGCAACATAAATAAGCATCAAATAAATATCTCTAGAGTATATTAAAAACTTATACAAATCAGAAACATATGACAACCCAAAAGAAACACTTGAAAATGCACTTCCAAAAAAAGTTACCAAACTGAAGTCCATAAAAATATTAAAACATGATCAACTTTATGGGTAACCTGGGAAATTAAAATTCAAACCACAAATAGCAGTAAGCATCCACTAGACTGACAAAAATTTTAAAGCATGAAGATAGCATATTTTATTAATATCTAGATTTTATTAAAATCTAGCATATTTTATTAATATCTAATTGTCCTATTATGATAGGACAATTATTGCTGAAGATGGTGTGCCTTTTGCTCTGAAACCCAAGAGCTCTGAGCTGTGATTCGCCTACAGGACATGACTCAGACTGCACTCAGTACTCCAGCACTTGATCAGCTGGACATTAAAACACAAGTGGCAACATTGTTTGCAATGTCTCTCAGATCACCTTGTGAGCCTTCACTTCCTTTGGGCCCAAAGTTGGCGGTCTTTTGGATTACTTGATTCAAAAAAAAAAGACTGGAGCAGTACATCCAAATGTGGCAAATCTCTCTCCAAATTCCAAAGAGGTCCATCAAATGACTCATTCTCAGTGATAACTGGGGCAAGATATAAAAACCTGGCTTTCACTTTAGGACATACCTCAATATGTCCTATCCATACCACAGTATACCCAAAGATTTCACTGAATTGGTAGGCTCCTGAATTTTTTTGAGGCTTATTTCCCATCCTCTCACCTCTAAGGTTAGAAAACTTAGACATTTTAAGCTGCAGTTTTGTTTCAATTTCAGTATAAATATTATGTTGCAATACCCCATTTAAACAAAAAATATTTAAATCATACCTGATTGTTCTCGGTTCTAATGGTATTAACTCTATCATCTTCATTTTTCCAAAGAAACAGACTTAAAGGGAATGACAGATTTTAAAGTCATATTAAAAAATGATTCCATGAATATTAGCTTTTCACATTTTATCTTATTTGACACTCTGTAAACACAAATGTAACATTAAAGCCTCAAAAAGCCTGAGAACATATCTCAAGCTCATAAACTACATTTAGTATGAGTACTAGCTAAACTCAAATCACATTATAATATCTATAGCAAAGTAAAATAAAAATTTTGGAAACACATTTTGTTTGTAATTCTTTTGTGAATGATTGTTTATAAAATCCCTTCTATTAATTTCAAAAGACTGTATGAAAAACTGTTGCCTTAAGTACTATAATTCTCCATGAAATGATACCATGTGAAACTCAAGCATACTGATTCTTTTCCCCATAACCAAGAATCTAAGTGAGGTAGAACAACTAATTCTAAGAAAGGCAAAGACAAAATTTTCTGTCAGTAAGCTGCTCCTGATGACATAAGAATTATAATAGAAATAAATTTAAGCAATAATTATTCCTCATTATTAAAGATTAGAATCAAGGTAATTTTAATTAAAAATCACTAATTTCACTCATATATTTGTTGTAATTAGAAGTCCTTGTAACAGTATCCTGGTTATCTCACTCTTTATAGTTTAGATTATGACATGTAGAATCAACATCTATACTAGTTACCTTTTTTTGTTTCTTAAATCACTATTTGATTCTTCTGATGATCCTGGCACTTCAGAATTTCCAATTCGATTTTTTCCAGTTTGGTTTCCTTTTGGAGTGTCTTTTCCCCCTGCTGATGTTCATGTTCATCCATGGCAAATAAAGTTAATAATATTAAGAAAATAGTAAAATAAAATTTTATACAAATATGTATATATATGGACATACTCTTATCTTGTCCTGTGTCCTTTTCCATGAACTCTACTACACATGATATAAGGCAACAGTTTCCAAAGTAAATTTCATAAAACAGTTTATGTGAAAGGAGAATTCTTTGTGTCAATTCAGTTTGAGGAAAAGAAAGGATTAAGAAACCCTACCAGGAAAACAATCACACACACCCTTGTAGGATTTCTCTGTTTTTATGTACAATGTGAATCTACAAGATGGGGGTAAGTTGGGTTTTACTTAAACTTAATTGTCTTTAGAAAGCTTTGGCCAAAAGCATCTTTTGAAATTGTATTGAGGAAATTTCTCTGGAAAAGGCTGGTGTAAATACAGAGCATATAATGTCCTTTGTTATTTCACATACATTTCTATTTATAAAACCTCCCTTCATTTTAACAGAATTTCCCTATATAGGAAAACTATACAATGTCTTTAAAATGTTAACATTAATGTTCTATATGATCTATATGAACAAAAGATCCATGAACCTCACAATATTAATGCAGATATTTTTCCTTTGGATAAATCAAATTTTTTAATTTTGAAAAAATTAATGAGTCATGTTAATATTTGAAAAACCATTTTACAAGAGTTGCCATAGAATTTTGCAACCTGAAGCCTGTACTGGTTTAATTTTAGTCTAGCTGCTATATTTCCCAGTTGGTATATTTGAAATAGTCTTTTAAAGACAATAAACAGGGATTTTCTAAAGGATATATTCAATGCAAAATGAACAAAAACCAGATGTACCAGCTGCTTAGAGGTTAATAATAAAATACTACTCCCCCCCCACCAAAGAAAGAAAAAACAATGAAAAATTCATTAGATTCTAAGTAATTTTGATAGGGATCTGGCACATGTATCTCATTCATAGTAACAGTCTAGAGCATGATGCACCGCACCATTCATACCTATGCAGTTTAATAACATAAAGAAAGCAGGCCTATTCACTTTTGAAAAAAATCATAATAGTGTCTTGAGAGCTACAGTAATATATGCATAAAATGTTATAGATTCACAGAAAGGGATATGATAACTGTGAAACTATGTTTTGAACTATGAGATGTTTGCCTGGCAAAGAAGAGAGCAAGAAGAATTTAAGCAAAGAAAATGGCATTTGCAAAATACACAGTACAAATATATGCAGCATTTTTGGCAATAGTGAAAAGTTCAGTGTGACTCTTGCATGGTGTTGTAAATAAAGCATGGGCTTTAGTCAAACACACAGGAGTTCAAGTCTTGGCACTGTCACAGCAGGTGTGACCTCAGCTAAGTTATTTTTTTAACCTACGTTTCCTTATCTCTAAAATGGCACAGTGCATGGAAAGCACGCAGCACAGTACCCAATCCTTAGGAGTGTCTTGACTTCAAGTTCTGATTTCTGTTCCACTGCATTTCATATTTCAGATCTTTATCACCTCAATCTATTCTCCATAGTGTCACCTAAGTGGTTTTGCTAGAATTGAAATCCAATCATGTTACTCCTATTAAAACAAAGAAGGAAAGAAAACCCACTGGAGAAAAGAGTCTCTGCAACAAATGGTGTCGGGAACATGCAAAAGATGTAACATGGTACATGGTAACATGCAAAAGAATGAAACTGGACCACTTTCTTACACCATACACAAAAATCAATTCAAATTGGATGAAAGACCTAAATGTGAGACAAGAGAAACAAACCTTAGAGGAGAACACAGGTAGCAACATCTTCGACATGAGCCATAGCAGTAACTTACTAGATACATCTCTGGAGGCAAGGGAAAAATGAACTATTGGGACTTCATGAAGATAAAAAGTTTCTGCACAGCGAAGGAAACAATCAACAAAACTAAAAGGCAGCCAACAGAATGGGAGAAGATATTTGCAAATGACATATCTTTTTTTAATTAAAAAATGTTTTTAAGCTTTATTTTTGACAGAGAGAGCAAGCGAGCAAGCATGAGTGGGGGAGGAGCAGGGAGAGGGAGACACAGAATGTGAAGCAGGGCTCAAACCCACAAACCACAGGATCATGACCTGAGCTGAAGTCAGATGCTTACCCGACTGAGCCACCCAGGTGCCCCTGCAAATGACATATCTGATGAAGGGTTAGTATCCAAAATCTATAAAGAACTTATCAAATTCAACACTCAAAAAACAAATAATCCAGTTAAGAAATGGGCAGAAGACATGGATAGACATTTTTCCAAAGAAGACAGATGGGTAACAGACACATGAAAATATGTTCAACATTGCTCATTATCAGGGAAATACAAATCAAAACTACAATTAGACATCACCTCACACTTGTCAGAATGCCTAAAATTAACAACACAGAAACAACAGATGTTTTCGAGGATGCAGAAAAAGGGGAATACTCTGACCCTGTTGATGGGAATGCAAACTGGTGCAGCCACTCTGGAAGGTGGTATAGAGGTTCCTCAAAAAGTTAAAAATAGAACTGTCCTATGATCCAGCAACTGCACCACTAGGTATTTACCCAAAGGACACATGCACCTCAATGTTTACTGCAGAATTATCAACAATAGCCAAATTATGGAAAGAGCCCAAATATCCATCAACTGATGAATAGAGAAAGATGTTGTGGTATATATATATACAATGAAATATTACTCAGCCATAAAAAAGAATGAAATTTTGCTATTTGTGATGATGTGGTTGGAGCTGGAGTGTATTATGCTAAGAGAAATAAGTCAGAGAAAGACAAATACTATATGATCTCACTCATATGTGGAATTTAAAAAATGAAACAGATAAACATGGGGGGGAAAAAGAGAGAGGCAAACCATAAAACTCTTAACTATGGAGAACAAACTGAGGGTTACTGGAGGGGTGTTGGGTGGGAAATGGGCTTAAAGGGTGATGGCCATTAAGGAGGGCACTTGTTGTGATGAGCACTGGATGTTATATGTAAGTGATGAATCACTAAATTCTACTCCTGAAACTAATAATTACACTATATATTAACTAACTAGAATTTAAATAAAAACTTGAAACAAAGTTAATATGGCTTCCCATTGCTTAAACATTCCTTAGTTTTGGAACCAAGGCTCTTGCAGTTCAAGTTTCTACCTACTTCTTCAGTTGTACTTCATGGTACTTCTTCCTCCCTTTTATCCATAAACTATAATAATTATAATAATAAGAATAAGAATAGTATTACTACTAATAATAGCTAAAAGTTACTGAACCAATTACCATATTAAGCAAATCCTGAAAGCCCCATTCATATCATGATCTATGTGAAGGAAGCCTTCTGGAATTAGGCAGTGAACAATCTGCATGGCCAAACATTTGCAACCCTGGGTTTGAAGTCTGAATATAAAGGGTTCTCAATGCCATCTTAAAGAACTTGGGCCTTAAGTAGTAATCAACGAGTCTTCCAAAGGTTTTTAAGCAGAGAGATAAATAATCCAGCTTGTAACAAGAATGATGCTGCCTGCACTCTGCAGAATAGACTGGAAAGCAGATTATAAGCAAGGGGGCTACAATATGGTTTTTAAGGTTCCTTTATATGTGTGTGTGTGTGTGTGTGTGTATATATATATGTATTAGTCTACAGTAAGGATTATTTCAAAGCTTAAACAACTGGAAGAGTGATGAAACCAAAGAAGTCAAGAAAGTACACTAGTTTGGGGGCAACAGTGGAGTCAAGTATTAAATATGTTAAAGTTGAGGCATGTCAAAAATGTAGAGGTGTGTAGCACAGACCCATGGGAAAGAACAGAAGACAACTAATGGAAAGAAATACCCACTTCAATATGAAAATGGGTAAAGCATTACTCTTTCCTCCTTCATTAAAGGACTTGTAAAACATACTATGCACATTATTTTAAAAAACTTTTTTTAATGTTTATTTTTGGGGGGGGGAGGGGCAGAGAGAGAGGGAGACCCAGAATCTGAAGCTGGCTCCAGGCTCTGAGCTGTCAGTACAGAGCCTGACGCGGGGCTTGAACTCACAAGCTGTGAGATCATGACCTGAGCCAAATTTGGGTGCTTAACAGATTGAGCCATCCAGGTGCCCCACTATGCGCATTGTAACTGTCTATATTTGACAATGTAATGTTAGAGTTCAGATATTTTGCATTCTCATGCACCACTAAAGAGTAATTTGGTATTTAAAAAAAATTTTTTTTTCAACGTTTATTTATTTTTGGGACAGAGAGAGACAGAGCATGAACGGGCGAGGGGCAGAGAGAGAGGGAGACACAGAATCGGAAACAGGCTCCAGGCTCTGAGCCATTAGCCCAGAGCCCGACGCGGGGCTCGAACTCACGGACCGCGAGATCGTGACCTGGCTGAAGTCGGATGCTTAACCGACTGCGCCACCCAGGCGCCCCAGTAATTTGGTATTTTAAAGAAACTATACAACTACCATCAACAAATGGAAGTGTACATATGGGAAAAAAATTAAGGAACTTTATTCACATCACACATAAAAATTTGTTCCAGGTAGATTAATAAACTGAATTGGAAAAGCAAACCAAAACATGTTTGAAAGACAATACATGACCTCAGGGTAGAAAAGGGATTAAAAAAAAAAAAAAGACATAAATAACACTATCCATAAATGAAAATATCAATAAACTTGACTATATTAAAATGTAAGAACTGCAGTTCCATTTGTGCTCAGGATTATAGAAAGATGAAACAATGCTCCCACTGGAACAAGAAGAAAAGGTAAATAATCAATAAAATAATAACTTTTCTTGAATTCATCAGAGAATTATGGTTGTAGGGAATTGAATTCCAATTCCCTCCTAGGAGAAAATGGTTTCATCTTTGGCAGAGCACAGGAGGAAGTGGTAACTGCTATTAAAAGAAATAAGAAAACAGCTAAAATTTTAAGGAATTCTAAAGGCCAGTGTGGGCTATGAGGATAGTTTGGAATCTCTGGGATCTTCAGACACAAAGGGAAGTCAATACTTAATAGCAAATTCCCTTCCAGGTGCGTGTATCATATGCTCACATGAAAGACTAGGGGCAGGGCAGGAGACCTGGCAGGAGAGCCATCAGTGGCAAAAAAGGATGACATTCCATCCTTCTCAACACTCTTCTTTCACACAAAGCAAAAGCCTTAAGCCAATTGGGGAGGAACTGGAAACTCTTCCATCTCAGGACCCAGGCAAAAATGTATTGGTTCTCAAGGAGGAACAGAGGCAAAAGCCATCTGCTTTGGAGGAAGAGTAAGTGACTCCCCTTTCAACAATATTAGCTTTGAGAAGTCTTACCACTGAGGAAGGAGTGGAAAACCTCATCACCAGTCCTAGGCAAAGCCTGAAGGAAGGGTAGAAGCAAAAGCTGTAAGGATTATCTTGGCCCCAGGATCATGCACTGATACAAAGCATTGGTTTACTGCCACTGGGTTGGGGGAGGGGGAAGAAACTCTCTCCTAAATATAAAAAATCATTTTTCCCTTACTTTAAAATTCTTTAGAAGATAACAGTGTAAAATAAAAATGGTAAAAATGTATTGTGGAGTTATATACAGAAGTAAAATATATGACAACAGCACAAAGGAATTGGGGGAGAAAACAGAAGTAATACTGCTGTAAGGTTCTTAAATTATATATGAAGTTGTATACAATTTGAAAGTAAACTTCAAATTTAAAGGCGCACTGTATATAGTTTAGAGCAAGAGTAGTAAACTTTTCCTTAAAAGGCCATATAATAAATTTTTCAGGCTTATGAACCACTGAGTCTTTGTCACATCTCCTCAAATCTGTCATTGTAGTATAAAAACAGTCACTGAAAATATGTAAACAAAATGGTATGGCTGTGTTCCAAGGAAAGGTTATAAAAAACAATCCATAAGGCATGGATTAAAATAAAATAAAATAGGGGTGCCCGGTTGGCTTAATCAGTGGAGCATGAAACTCTTGATCTTGGGGTTTTGAGTTTGAGCTCCATATTGATATTATAATATTAATATATTATTAATAGAGATTAAAAAGTTTAAATATTAAAAAAATAAGTATAAATATAGATGTTTGATGACCTCTACCTTATAGCAACCACTAAAAGTTTTCTTTTTTTTTTTTAATTTTTTTTTAATGTTTATTTTTGAGAGAGAGACAGACAGAGCATGAGCTGGGGAGGGACAGAGAGAGAGACACACACACAGAATCCAAAGCAGGCTCCAGGCTCTGAGCTGTCAGCACAAAGCCCAACACGGGGCTTGAACCCATGAACCACGAGATCATGATCTGAGCTTAAGTCAGACAGTTAAATTGAGCCACCCAGATGCACCTAAAAGTTTTCTAAAATGAGAAATAACTAATGAGACAATAGTGGAGATAAAATTGAATCACAAAAAACTTCTCAATCAAGAAAGAGGCAAGAAAATGGAAAAATAGAAGATGGAAGAAATGAGACAAATAGAAAATAAATAGCAAGATGGTAGATTTAAGACAAACCACATCAATAATAATTACAATGAATGTAAATGGTCTAAATACCCCTAGTAAAAGATATAGATTGCCAAACTGGACTAAAAAGTAAGATCTAAATACATGCTGTCTATAAGAAACCCACTTTGGATATTCAGTAACAGATAAAACAATGGAGAAAGATATACCATGCAAACACCAATCAAAAAAAAGCTAGAGGGGTGCCTGGGTGGCTCAGTTAAGCCTCTGACTCTTGATCTTGGCTCAGGTCATGATTTCACAGTTCATGGGATCACCCCATCAGTACAGAGTCTGCTTGGGATTCTCTTTTTCCCTCTCTCTCTGCCCCTCCCTCGATCACATGCACATGCTTTTTCTCTCTCAAAATAAATAAACTTAAAAAATAAAAGCTAGAATAATTATATTAATATTAGAGCAATTAACCTTTAAAATAAAAACTATTACCAGAAATAAAGAGAAACATTGTATAATTACATTGGGGTCAGTTTATCAAGAAGACATAATAATCCTAAATGTCACTCATCTAATAACAGCTTCAAATATGTAAAGCAAAACTGATGAAGAGTTGATGTCAACACATTTCTTTGTAATTTTAGAGCATGTTGACAAAATTTAAGAATTCCTTTCATCAAAAGAATCATAAAGAGAAAAAAAAGAAGCCACAAATTAAAATCTAGAATGAATTATATACAAACATACACACACACACACACACACATGCACGCACACATATGGTGGAAAAAACATATATGTATATAAAATGGAGCTATATTTAAAAGAAAGAAAATGGGCAAAACATTTGAATAAAGGCAAATCCAAATGGCCATAAACATATGAAAACATGTTCAACCAAAGAGAACCATTAGAAAAGAAAAGTAAAATATTTGGAATTAAAAATTCAGTGTAAGGATTTAATAGCAGATAAGACACAACTAAAGAGAGAATCAGTAAAATAGATTTGGAAGAAAAATCTGCAGAAATTATCTACAACTTAAAGCAGAGAAACGGGAGACCGAAAATATCTGATAGGATGACAAGTTATGGTTCAATAGGAACTTTCAGACATTGCCAATGGGTACAACCACTCTGGAAAACACATGGGCATTATTTGTAAAGCTGAATATGTGCAAACAATGCCAACGTTAGTTACATTCTCTGAGATCCTCATGGACCTATACATTTAAGAGTCATGTAGAAGAATGTACATATTTGTAATATCCCTAAACTGGCAATAAACCAAATATCTATCATCAGAACAAATAAATTATGGTATAGTCTTATAATGGAATATTACACAACAATGAAAAAAATAGTATTATATGTGAAACATGACTGAATCTTATAATGTTGAGCAAAAGAAACAAGTCAAAAATAAAATACTTTCAATATGAGTCCATCTAAATTAAATTAAAAACGTTCAAAACTAAACTATTGTTAAGAAATACATATTTAGGGGCGCCTGGGTGTCTCAGTTGGTTAAGCGTCCTACTTCGGCTCAGCTCATAATCTTTCAGTCTGTGAGTTCGAGCCCCATGTTGGGCTCTGTGTTGAAAGCTCAGAGACTGGAGCCTGCTTCAGATCTGTATCTCCCTCTCTCTCTGCCCCTCCTCCACTCACACTCTGTCTCTGTCTCTCAAAAATGAGTAAATGAAGACAATTTTTTAAAAAAATAAATACATATTCAGTTGGTAAAACTATAAATAAAAGCAAGAAAACAATTATCTCAAAAAATCAAAGTAATAGGTTATTGGGGAAGAAATAAGGTGTGACAGAGAAAGACACACAAGATTGGAAAGTGCTTGTAAGAAAAAGAACAACAAAAAATACAGCCTTAGAAACAGCCATTAAATTTCTAAAAAATAACAGGACAAATGCATGAAGTACTTAAAAAAAATGTTGCTCGCAGCAGTATTCATAATAGCAAAAACACTAACACAGGGTTGGATACATAAATTATACCACAAGGAATTCTATAATGATGTAGATCTATATTTATTGATATGAAATGTTTATGACATATTCTAAAATACAAGAAGAGGCTTTAAGGGTTCATATGTGCCCTCATTTTTAAAAGCCAAAAAAATATTTATTATATACAAGAACTGAAAAAAAAATAACTGAAAGAATATATGCCAGAACACTAACAGAAGCCATCTCTGGATGGTGAAATTATTGTTATCTTCTTTATAGTTACTGTTATATCTAGAACTTTTTAAAATGAGCATATGCTGGCCTCTTATAAAGTATAATTAAACTTTTTGAAGTGAAGCACCAAGATATTAATACCATTTAAAAACTACACTTTCACAAAATTCAAGGGTTAAATATTCTCACCAAAGATTGTTTTGGGTTTTGTGCAAATATCATAATTCAAGAATCTGGCCAGTAGCCCAGGATATGAAATATGACACTACTCACAGCTTTATGTGGGGCAATCGCCTACTTCATCAATCACTTGACCTTGTACTTTTCAGGAATACTGGGATTCCACTCTGAATTTTTTTCCCAGGTATTTTTTCCCTTTAACCTTTTAAGTGATATTATGACTGGAAAGCAATATTTAACACTGTAGTAGAGAGAAGACTCGATCAAGAAGGAAGTAAAGATTCTCACTGAGCATCTTGCTGACATCAAATAATAAAGTAGGTGGATCTCATCCACATTTCTATCAGAAATAGTAAAACACATCAGAAGAGTAAATACTAAATGGACCTATGATTAAAGAAGGTGTTAAGTTTGAATTATCATTGGATATAGCATAAACTTAGCATATAAGAATGGTTATAATTGAAGATGGAGAAAAATGTTAGTGGTTAAGAACGTCTATATTTTGCAGCTGTAATGGATGTTGCCATTAACTGGGGGGTGGGGGTCATTTCAGTTATAAATATTTAATATATCTGCTTTTCCATCACAGTTTATTTCCCATAGGCATTATTTTTTTCAATAGGTTCTTAGACAATAGTTCCACCTTTATATATTTGTTTAATTATCTACCACTTTTTAAGAACTGAATTAATTGATGAAAGTAATCAGATAAAAATTTACAATTCTTTGAAATACAAATGTTGCCCAGCATTAAAATTGTTTTGCTTCTGTTTGATACTATTTTCGTGGCTAAGATCCTTCTCACTTATAGTAATAATACCAGGGTTCTATGCAGTAATCACTTCCTTTCTCCTTCAGCCTTAACTATCTGAAACTATTATAAAAGAAGGTAGTGGCGTTTATTTATGTGCTATAAGTATTTTGACTTGATTTTTAACATAGTACTTAAATTGCATTTTTTTTCTCTCACTTGGTGAAACTATTTTTAAAAATCCCCCAATGGACTTGTAGCTTTCCTTTTATAAGGAAGCTAGATTTGCCACATTTGTAAGGCTAGATTTGCCCAGAATTTGCTCACCGACCTGACTACTAAAATGTACTATAATAACCTCTTTGTTTTTCCCATTCCAGTTGAAATCACCTTCTTCTCGATTCTTGTTAAGAAGCTCTTTCAAAGTGTTTACTAAAAAACTGGGATCTGTTCCAGGTTCTTCCTTCAGCAAAGTTACACTAACTGGTCTGTGGATTATTCCATCAGCCTCAGCAACACCGGTATTAGTCTGCCGCTCATCTAAAGAAACTGTTGATGCTGAATAAATATTTCCTAAGTGATCCATTATAGGAAGCAAATATAATTCTGGCTGAAGAGCCTAAAACACATAGGAAATTTAAAAAAATAGCTTGTAATTTAAAAAACAGTTAAGTTAAAAAATTAGCATAAGTTTAAAATGTCACATTACATACATATGGAGGAACAAATGACTTGAGTTTCAGTTCTGATTCTTGCTTTGCCTTCACTTAGAAACAAATAAATGAGGAAAAAAATAAAGCTTTTGTATGTTTTCAATTATTTTTAGTCCAACTTTTTTTTTTTGCAGAAGGCACATATCTGTGACATACAAATCAAACTTAAAAGCTGATAACTGAGGTTAGAGTCTAGAAAATGTAGAATATAATCCTATTTCTATTCACTGTACAAAACATAAAAGAAATTCCATGTCATTTAGTCATAATGACTATGGCTATCACTTGCATGGACTCAGTATATGCTAAGCACTATTCTAAGTGCCCTACATGTAATAGCTCAGTTAATCTCCACAGTTCCATGTGATGGGCACACGTTTTGGTTCACAGACAACAAGAGTGAGGCAAAGAGAAGTTAAATAACTTGTCCATGATGTTATAACTAGGAAGTTTCCAAGTTTGGACTCAAAACCAGGAAATCTGGCTTCAGAGTCCAAAGCTGTATACTTTATTTCCTAAATACATAACCCATGGAGTTCATCTGTTATTCATCCATCCATCCATTCATTCATTCAACAAATATTGAGGGCATAGTATGGGTCAGGCAGTATTCTCTATGGTAGGAGATATAACAGTAAACAACGCAGAGTTCTTGCTTTCATGTAGCTTCTATTCTACTTACGAGAACAGATGTTAAAGAAACATGATTTAGAACAGTGATATGTGATTTATGAAAACAAAAGAGTGATGGAATACAGAGTAATTTAAGAGCAAGAATATCTAAAAAGTAGGTGGTCAGAGAAGGCCCTTTGGAAAAGATAATACTTGAGCTTGAGACTTGAATTATGAAAAGATGAAGCAAGCTATTTGAAAATCAAGGGGAAGTAATTTCCAGGCAAGTTCAAAGAACATAAATCAGAACAGAGTTTGCTATATTTGAGGACCACACAAAGATTTTTGTGGTTAAAATGGAAAATCAAGGAGAAAAATAGCAGTAGATGAAATCTAAGAAGCAGCTTATTCCTTAGGCCCTCCGTATCTCTGGCCTAACCACGGCAAGTCTCCTAGTTATAAACTCTGCCTCTAGTCTCTTAAGGCTCTCATCATGTCACCTTTTGATCAAAAACTCCAATGCTTCAGAAACAAACAAAACTCATTAATCTGGCATTCAAGAACTTCAACAAATGACTTTACAACTTGTTCTCTACTATTTCTTTTCACACCATGTTCCAATTTAAAAAAAAGAAAAACTCCACTCTTTCTTAGCTGCCTGCTTTTTCCACTATGCTGCTCATTCTATTTTCTCTTCTCAGAAAGCTTTCCCCACCCAACATCTTTGCAAGATCAAGTATTTATCTTACAAACTCCAAACTGAATATATCTCTTCTTTGTCAAAGTTCTCCATCTCCCCTCTTCTCCTGCTGGAAGTAATCCCTTTTTCTTCTGAATATACAAAATATGCTAATTTAATTTCTCTCCACCACTACACTGAATACTCTTTAAGGGAAGGATCCATATCCAATTCTTTTTTCTCATTTTGTTTGTAGAAAAACATCAATAAATATTTGTTGAAAACAGTAAAATATTAGAAGAATTTTGGAAGTTCACTTAAATTACCTTCCAACCTAGGATTCTGTGATTGATATTGTGTAATTTTAGATATCATGAAAAAGAATAAAAAGTTATGAGAACTGTTCTTATTCTTCTTTGAGAAAAACTTAATGAGTAAATTAAGAATCTACCATACTGAATAGAACTCAAGTGACAAAAACTTCAAATCTAGCTGCTGATCCTGAGAATTCCACATAGAAAATTCCTTAATAGTACTACTTTGGAGGGAAATGTTTATTTTTTTTCCATTATCATTCATTATTTGTCCAATAAACATTTAGATGTCTTTAAGAGCTAAACACCTTGCTAGGTACTGTATAAATACAATAGTGAATAAAATAAAGTCCCTGCTCACAGGAAGCTATAGTCTAATGGCAGAGTCAGATGTTAAATACATAATCACATAAATACATAATAATGACATAATATGTTAACCAGAGTGGAATAGGAATATACTGACTTTTTGTTTAAACATGGAAAGTCTTGATTAAAGAAAGAAACCTCATGTTGATATGAGAAACCAGAAACTTTTGAGATCCAATGGCTTAAGAATTAAGAATTTCAGCTGGAGAAACTGAGAAAAGCCTGCCATTAAATCATAGAAACTACAAATAGGATTGTTCAAGAGATAATAGCTGAAACCCCCAAAATATATGTACATATGCTGGAGTCCTATCATTTCACACCAAATGAAGCTAGCTGTGGCCCAAACAATGAGGATCCATTTCTGTCCAGAACACAAGTACTTATTTAAAATGTTTTTAAACCTATCATTTAAATTTAAAAATACAGGGGCGCCTGGGTGGCACAGTCGGTTAAGCGTCCGACTTCAGCCAGGTCACGATCTCGCGGTCCGGGAGTTCGAGCCCCGCGTCAGGCTCTGGGCTGATGGCTCAGAGCCTGGAGCCTGTTTCCGATTCTGTGTCTCCCTCTCTCTCTGCCCCTCGCCCGTTCATGCTCTGTCTCTCTCTGTCCCAAAAATAAATAAACGTTGAAAAAAAATTAAAAAAAAAATTTAAAAATACATATTACTTATACAATCACATTTTAATTTTGTCTTCCTTTTCTTCCCAAGGAAACGCACACCTGAAAATATCCCCATCATTTTAGTGTCCAATAATATGCTAATAAGACCCATCTTTTTTTTTTAATGTTTATTTTTGAGAGAGAGAGAGAGAGAGAACGAGTGGGAAAGGGGTAGAGAGAGAGGGAACAGAGGTTCCAAAAAGGGCTCTGAGCTGACAGCAGTGAGCCAGACGCAGGGCTCATTCTGAACTCAGGAACTCAGGAACCTTAAGATCATCACCTTAGCCCTAGTTGGTTGCTCAACCAACTGAGCCACACAGGTGCCCCACAACCCATCTTTTCTTAATGATCTATGTATTTAGTTATACTGTCATTTCATTATGATTGATATTACTTATCTCCTGTTAAGAAGCTGAGTTGATAAGCATTTAAGAAACATAATTTCTTAAGGTATGCTTTCTTTAATCAAAAATAAAAAATAAGAAAACTTACCACAGCTAGATTATTTCCAATGCATTTCAGAAATAAAAATTTTTCTGCAACAGCATCTTCACCAAGGAACTCACTGAGACGCTCTCTCAGGGCTTGTAAAGTAAGGTGAGGAGATACTCTGAAATATGACATTGCTTTATAATGTAAAATGAAATAGGTTTCAGCTATACTACACATTTGATAACATTAGTCAGCTATCTCAAAAATAAATACTAATTTAATATATCATATATGACTTAATATATTGTGGCTTTATATTGCCTGGCACTTTGTAAAACTTCAGGAAATTTTAAAAAATGATTATACAAATAAATACTGTTTACAAAAGCCCTTTCTGTACTGAAAGGAAAATGCTTGCCTATTTTTCTCATCCACATCTAAATGGTATTATTTTTTAAAAATCTTTGTTATGGAACCTACATATTTTTTTACACATATATTAAAGAATGATTTACCCACAGATAAGTATTTTGGAAGTTTGACAAGACTAGCTGGTGCTTAAAAATTTCTTTGATGATCAAATGTTGTCAGACTCTACACTTTTGCTCATTTGGGGATACTTCATCACTCAAAATCTAAAATTTAAAGCCATCATTTATGCTATTTTTTTGAGTTCTTGTTATTCTAGGATCTTATGGGAAACATTATATAACTAATTCATTCAACCAACAAGTATTTACTGAGCACCCAGTATGTGTCAGGCATTGTTCTAAGGAATGGGAATATGGCAATCAACAAGAGAGACAAAAATCTCTGCCCTTACAGACTTTACAATCTAATGATGGGAAAGAAAAAATTAACAAAATAAGAAAAACATATAAATTATAAGACATTGCTAAGTACTATGGAGAAAAGTAAAGCAGAGAAGGAAGCGTAGCTACAGTTTAAAATATAGTGATCAGAGATCTAAACAAAAAAGTAATATTGGAGTAAAGACCTGAAGATGAGTGAGATAGGATACATAAGGGCTGAAAGAGCATTCTAGATTAAGAGAACAGCAAGTACAAGTGTCCTGAGGTCCATGTCTGATGTGTTCTAGAACAGAAAAGAGACTGGTATGCTTGAAGTGATGGGGAAGATAAGGAATAATGTCATGTATGCTTCTGTGAATGTGAAAATACACATACATATAAATGTACACACACATATACTTATATTCTGTTTCTTTTTGAAAAAGTCATTGTGGATACACTGGTTTAACCACTATTCACAGCTTTTCAACAGGTTTCTAATTTCAGATAATTTCTCTCTATATTCTTTTTGTGTGTAACCACAGTAATATACCAGTTATACCTTTTCTGGGTGGCAGTATTATGGTTAAGTGACATCTGTTCTTCCAGTACTTATTAACTGTTATATAACATTATTTATTGATAGTATTAAGTTAGAAACTGGATCCATAACATGGACCAGAATTTTTCACTTATAATCTAAATTTCAAACAAACAAACAAACAAACAAACAAACAAAAAAAACAACCCATTTTTCTCTGCAGAAAAAAAAAAAAAGAGATTGCTTTTTCAGGCACATCATAACATGACCACAAAATACTTGCCTTATAAATCCAGCTGAAATGAATTTGTTAACAACTTCTATTGAAATGGTATTTAGCTTATAGTTCCATGATCCTTCAGGGACATAAAAAACATGAAGTTCCACCAACTGAATAAATTGAGAAGACATCAGTTAAAATATTTTTAAAATGGAAAAAATCAACTGATGTCCTCTAGAATTTTAAAGTTAATAATCATAATTGAAATAAACATGGAATACATGTATCCTTCTGAACAAACACAAAAAAGAAAATGAAGAGCCAAAATTTTAAGTTGGCTACTTGGCACTTACAGCACATCTTCTCCCTAGAAACAATGTCATAGATGTGGTCCTAAGGTACCATAACATCCCTGACATACAGTGTTCTTTCTGTGGCTTGAAGTAAGAGTCGCAGACCACCAAGATCAGTTTTCTGATTACCAACCTTTCCGTCTCCCTCGATCCCCACCTACTCAGTTCTGTTATAGTGATCTTGTGGAATCCTTATACTTTACATATTGTTTCCCTAACATTGTTGTGATGATTGCTAGTTCTCAGCAACTGCAACTGTGCAATTCTCAACTGTGGTCTGGGAAATATTTTTGTTTCCCAGAATTCTAGGAAGAACCTATTCCTGACAGTGATGGGGGAAGAAATGGTTGTTCTTGTGTAGGGCATGTCTGCCAGCTTAGCTTATCTGTACTTTTAATACCATTTTCTTGGGGGCACCTGGGTGGCACAGTGGATTAAGCGTCCGACTCTTGGTTTGGACTCAGGTCATGATCTCATGGGTTCCTGGGTTTGAGCCCCACATCTGGCTCCGCATTAACAGTGCAGGGCGTGCTTAGGATTCTCTCCCTCTCCCTCTCTCTCTCTCTGCTCCTTTTTCATGCTCTCTCTCCAAATAAAATAAATAAACTTTAAAAAATTAATAAATACTATTTTCTTTTTTTTTTAAACATTAAAAAGTTATTTTTAATGTTTATTTATTTTTGAGAGAAACAGAGCACAAGCAGGGGAAGGGCAAAGAGAGAGGGAGACAAAGAATCTGAAGCAGGCCCCAGGCTCCAAGCTGTCAGCACAGAGCCCGACATGGGGCTGGAACTCATCAACCATGAGTTCATGACCTAAGCCAAAGTCAGACACCCAACCGATTGAGCCACCCAGGTGCCCCAATACCATTTTCTTTTCTATTAATGTTTTGTTAAACCTCAATTAGAATCCTTCCACTTAGATGAATATTTAGATTACCACAACAGAAACAAAACAATTAGAGCAAATATAGTCTTATCTTTTAGTCTAATGAAGTTTGTTATTCATTGCATATTAAAACTCAAATGATTATACTTTACAGTATTAAATACCTGAATAAAACTTTAAAAATTTGATTATGACCTACCATTAATATTAGTAATTTTTATAGGAGATAAAATTGGTTCTTGAACTGAATGTTTTGCTCAAGTTGTTTTTATAGACCAAGTAAATTACTTCTATACATTTGATGTGTGTATAGATCTGCTGTAGTTTGAAGTTTGCCATATGCTGTATTTTGAATACTAGAGCATTTAAAAGATAATTTCCTAACTATACTATACTATTCACAGCTAACACTACACTATACTATTTTTTTTTAAGTTTATTTATTTTGAGAGAGAGAGAACGCAAGCAGTGTAGGAACAGAGAAAGAGGGAGAGAGAGAATCCCAAGTGTTGGGCTTGAATTCACGAACTGTGAAATCATAACCAGAACCAGAATCAAGAGCCGGACACTTAATGACTGAGCTAACTGGGCACCCCTACACTATACTATTAATACTATAATATTTAATAGCTACATGATTAAATATTTGTAAAACTTTCAGAAGCCTTTAGTAAATATGACCTTATCCTTTATATAAATGCATTAATATTTTACAGGAGAAAAAATATTTATTGAACTAAACATTTTTACTTTGTTTTTATAAACAAAGTAAATTCTGTCAATATTTCTATAATTCATGAACTATAAATCAAAGTGCCTGTATAGATTTAATTCCATAATTGAGTGAGTAGGCAATACAGAGAAAATATAGTTAAAACATTTCTTGGACTTTGAAACATTTTGTGATATAAAATAATTTATAGTGGATTTGTGTTTATTTATTCCCTCAACAAATATTTACTGAATGTCTACCATGTGCCAGCACTGGTCTAGGCATTAGAGATATGCAGTGAGTAAGAAAAAGATCCTTGCTTGTGCATAACTCTACCTTCAAATGAGGTAACAGGACGAGAAGAAGAGTGAGGCAAGTGAGGCACTCACCTCAGATGCAAAATTTAAGGCTGCAACAAAACCTCCGTAATCAAGATAAATACAACATTAAAAAAAAAAAAAAAACCTATTCAATGTAAAAACTTTCATGATAAGCAAAATATCAAAAATTTAAATAAAGAGAGAAATTAATACTACTATTACAGCCTTAAGCAAAAGGAAAAATATGAACCTCAATACATGTTTCTTAAAAGAAATACATTTCTGGGGGCACCTGGGTGGCTCAGTTGGTTAAGTGTCTGACTCTTGGTTTCAGCTCAGGTCATGATCTCATGGTTCATGGGTTTGAGCCCCGCACTGGGCTCTGTGCTGACAGCTCAGAGCCTGAAGCCTGCTTCAGATTCTGTGTCTCACTCTCTCTCTGCCCTTCTCCTGCTCACGTTCTCTCTCTCTCAAAAGTAAATAAAACAAAAAACAAACAAAAATTCTTAATGGTTAACTTTTTCCAGAATAACAAAGTAGTTGAAAAAATACTGAGAATTTTAAAAGTATATACTAAAACTCACAACATTATTTTAAGGTTAAATATTCTATTTATACCAAAACATGAATTTATTATAATTTTACTTTTCTGGCTTTCATGGAAGCATCTCATCAATAATGTTTTCATCAAAACTACTAACCATTAAAAAATACATTAAAAGGTATATTTATAGGCACATATTTTTGCCTTTTGCCTCAGGTTCCAAAATGGCCTATCAGATTCTGTTTCTCTTTAAAATGCTATTAGGATTTCTTTTGCATCAATTTTTTCATTAAAAAAACTTGTATTGAATTATTTATCTTAATTATGGAGGGGTCTTTTGTGTGTGTGGGGGGGGCTTAAATTTTGCACCTCAGGCAAGTGACTCATTTGCCTCAGACTAGACCCAGGTCTGTGAGGGCACAGACAATAAACAGTAAATACAAAACACGGGTAAATTATATAGTACATTAGAAAGTGGTCAGTACTGAAAAAAAAGAATAAGTAGAGCAGGGTGAGGAAAACTGGGAAGATAAAAGAGGAAGTAGGTTTCAGTGTTTTGTTTTGTTTTGTTTTAATTTGAGAGAGAGAGAAAGAGAGGGACTCTCAAGCAGGCTCCAACACAGAACTGTGAGATCATGATGTGAGCCGAAATCAAGAGTTGGTCGCTCAACTGACTGAGCTACCCAGGCGCCCCAGAAAAGGTGAGATTTAAGTAAAGACTGCAGGTGAAGAAGAAATTAGATGAGTGATGATGTAGAAGTAAAAAGTTCCAAGAAGAATTAAAGCAAAGGTCTTAAGGTGAGAAAGTGCTAGTATGATTAAAGCAGAGAGAGTGAGGAAGAGAGTAGTAAAAGATCAAGTAAGAAAAGTGAGGACAAGGAACAAATTAAATAGCGTCTTCCAGGCCACTGTAAGCTCTTTATCTTAGAAAATGAGAAGCCAATTCAGGGTTTTAATAGAAGCACATCTGACATTCATTTTAGATTCTTATTATTTTAATATGAAAAATTCTAAACATACATACAAATAAAAGGAATACTACAAAGACCCAAATACCTACTACTTAGATTCAAAAGTAAACATCATGCCACATTTACTTCTTCTCCCCCCCCCCCCCCCACCTCTTTTTTTAAAGGCGACTGCCACATGCAGCACCTTATTTGGATGTGTCTGAAGTCTTGGAAACTTGACTACCCTGCCTTCTACAATCGGACCTTGAGAGCTTGTTTGGAGGTTCTAGCAGGGGAGCAGAACTACTTGTATACCCTTTGACTGAAGAATGATCCTCCTCTATAGGGAAGGTCGTCCTCCTCAACCCAGCACACAACTTTTGGAGGGACACATATGGAGTTGTGAGAGAGAAAGGGGACACCCACCTGTCCAGCCAGATCAGTCCAATCAACCTTGGTCATCAATGGGGTGACAGATGTCACAACCATATTGTCCTCAATCCTCTCTCCCTCCCTTAACAAACCATTCAAAGTAATCAGACATCATAAAAATATAATCCTAAATACTTTTGCATCCATCTCCTAAAAATAAGGACTTGTCTAATTTTTCACATTTTCACATTTAAGAGAATTAACAGTTCCTTAATGTAAAATAATATCCATTCCACATTCAAATTTCCTTAATTGTCCATTTGTTCTCAGAATGTTTTTCAGTCTAGAATCCAATCAAGGATAACACACTGCATTGGGTTTGTCACATCTTTAAAAATCTTAATCTGCAAGTTTTCCAGACCTTCTCCCCCACCCCCTCTTAATGGCATTAACTTTTTAAAGAGACTGGGTAGTTGTTTTAAGGAATGTTTTGCATTATGAATTTACCTTATTAACTCCTTAGGATACATTTAACTTAATTCTCCAATTCCTCTCTTTTTTTTAGCATAGTATGGTTTCTTTTTTTAATCTTTTTTTTTTATCATGAAAAGTGTATCCTGTAATCTCCATCTCCTATTTTCCTCATTCCACCCCTTGTTTCTATAGTTTTTGTTTTCTATAGCTAAGAGTCTGTTTCTTGGTTTCTTTTTTTCCTTTGCTCATTTACTTTGTTTCTTAAATTCCACATACAAATAGGATCACATGGTATTTGTCTTTGACCTATTGTGCTAAGCATTATACTGTCTAGCTCTATGCATAGTGTTGCAAATAGAAAGATTTCATTCTTTTTAATGGCTGTATAATATCTCATTGTATATGTGTGTGTACATACACACACACATATAATCACTTTTTTTATATATGCAAAATCACTCCTTTATCCAATCACCTGAGCTGCTTCCATAATTTGACTATTGTAAATGATGCTGTAATAAACACAGGGGTGCATGTATCCCTTTGAATTAGTGTTT